TTACGTGTTATCGGGGCTACGCGTCATTGTTCTTGGTAATCGTTTACCAACAGTATCTGATAGAGACGACGGTGTTCGCGATCGCAGACCACCACCGTGAGAACAGACGCGTGCAGACCATCTGTCAGTAGTCACCGGATTAAACAGGATTTTAATACACTTTATTGCTTCGAGAATAGAAATGCGAAACACCAACATTCAAACGAATTTATGATTCCACAGAAGTGCACTGAATTTGTGGCGTAATATTTTTGACGTTAGTGGTCGTGATATGGTAGTCGCGAAATTGTAGCTAGTATTTTACGAGTTGCTTTTTACTAAATGAAAAGCAAAACATATTATTCTTTTACAAGCTGTACAATTCTTTCTTCATCTTCTGTCTTTTGATTGAAAATAAAACGACGTTTCAACGTACGGCAAATGTTTCTGACAACGCGTAAACATTATTTTTACGCCGTTGTGTATCATGCTAGAAATATGTCACTATCTATAAAAGGGGGTTTCAATGTATATTTCGCGTAGAATGAATCAAGTTGCGTGATGCATGGTATTTTTCATTTATTCCTATGACATAGGACAGCCGAAGTCAGTATCGTATGACTATATCGGAGCTTCCCTATGGCGGTGTAGTGAGGAATATGAAAATTACATAAGTCTCGGCAATGCAGACACTAAATTTAAAGAAGCAAAACGAATCGCGTAAGTTCGAGCATGAGCCATCTGCGAACACGTAGCCCTGGTCTCTTCTCTGCTCTGTTGCACCTGCGCTGTCCACCTGGCCTTCCGGCCAGATACGGTACTTCAGCTTCCCCTCTATAGCGTCCAACTAAACTTTCCTTCGTTGCTGTGCAGATGCTGAGTTCATTTCAATCCATTGAATTCCACTTTAGTCAATCCTTTGTCGATCGAATGGTATAGCAGGTGAATACTCGTGGACACGATTAAATTGAAATTTATTCCATTTTTCAACCGCAATCTTTTTGTTATAATAATCATTTATTTCCTTGTAAAAAAAGTGTTTATAGTAATTCTGTGGATATTTATAAAATGAAATATGTGTCGCGACGTTATTGTTAGTAACAGAGTAAATAATGTTTTGGTAGATTTAGGAGCGTATGGGCTTAATTTACTGCTTTAATTATCGCTGATTATTCGAAAATCATGAAAATTGTGAATCTCACTTGTGATTTACTTGGTTAACCTCTAAAAAATAGAGAATGCACTTGTTATTTATGTTTTATGTAATTGAAGTTTAAAATACCTTATTACATTTTGTAATACGTAATGACGTAATAATATTGCAAGTATAGAACTTAATTTACTTTAACGTAAAGGATATTAATCGGATATATCATCGGTGTGTTGAATATTATTCTTTGACGCGTTAACTACCACGAGAATTTTGAGCGTTTTGTATAGTAATACTTATTCTTCCATGACAAAGACAAATGGTGTTAGAACCAATTATTAATGCATTAGTATCACAGTACTCATATTACGGTATTACCTAGCTGCTTATATTACTAAATATTTTTATTCGACATCAATCTTCCTATTGTAATTATTCTCAAGCGATTTGCAAGTTCTGGTCATCGATGGTCACCGCGGCAGTGAATGTGTTAACGTGTCGATAATTAATATTTTATTACACAGTGCTTTCTAGTGATGAAATACTTACAATTAGAATAGAATGAAGAAATCTTTGCCTGCTTCTTTATTAAGAAAATTACTACATGTAATTAGGCAATCTGTCCGCGATGCAACGGAATATTCAGACGCAACAGACATTTCAAAATAACACGAATGTTAATCTGTTTGCATGTTTTACATCTCGTATTTCCCACGCATCGAAATTACTTGTTTCTCGCATTGGAGAAGTCCGCGGTTTTCCCAGTGCTCGCGTCTGTCATCGAACGTATCGCGCCGCGTACACGTGCTATATAAAGTGCAGCTTGCACTCGAACGGTAATTATAGACCACTTTGCAGAAGCGGGATACCGCGATTTGAAAATACTCGGAAGACAATAGTCACGCTCGTGCTCTTGGGAACTGCGTACCGTTACACAGTCTTCTTTAACACTTTAGTTGCCACACGTCACCTGAATTCGGGTGATACCGTTTTTTGTGTAAACATGAAAATTAATTTTCTTGATTATGTATGAAATGAATAGAATTTTGTTGGATGTGTGTAGAACGAGGCGAATAGGGTTAAAGGTTAGAACTTATTTAATTAAGAATCTAGTTCATATTTGTTATATTGCAAATCATGTTTCTCACTTTCCGTTTTTTATTTGTAAAAGTAAAATTTGAACATTCTTTTTTATTTTTTATGATTAATGTTTAATGTTTAATGTTTAAGTGTTTCAGTTTCTTTTTGTTGTTGTTAAATAGATAATGATTCGAGTTACCTTGGTTTACCTTAATAGATGTAAGAAGGATAGAGCAATTGGTATGAAGAATCTTGACTTTGTACATAGCTTTTGCTTTATTAAGAACACTTTCGATTGTATGGGAATGTCAATGAGTGTTTGTCTGGCAGGCAACCTGTTAAAGTGTCAAACATGTGGAGTTCGTTAATTTTTCTGTTACAATAGCAGTTAATAACTATTGATTCATTTTATCCTGTTATTGCATAACGGAAGTTAACTATTGTAGCCTGAAGCATGGAATTCAATGAAATTTGAATTTAATTAATTCTGAATTTGAATTAATTAATTTCATTATTTATTTATTAATTTATTCAGAGCCCATTCTTTTATCTCGTAAAGATATACATACGTTTTTCGTTAAAAACTGAAATTTGAATTGAAATGTAATAAATGCACCAGCAGGGATATATAGATGTTTATTATTCAATATTTAAACATTTTTTTCGTTTATGACTCTCTGTAACTCCACTCTTATAAGTATTTTGCATTGTTCTAAATATTATAAATGATAAAAAGATAATTATGGGAATTTATATTAATAATATGTATCAAGTGGATATTGCTATTGTTAGTTTATTAATTATTTGAACCAAAATTTCTGTTGTCTTATGTGACGATGCGTAGACAGTAGTGTGATTGCATTTTGCATACAATGGTTAATTCTCAGTTGCACACATTCTTATACGATAAAGTCTGTCGAGAGTATATCACTGCAGACTTTGATTTAAGAACTTAATGAATGATCCTATATACTGTCAGACCAGTTTGACAAATATGGTTTACTCTAAAGTCAACAGCCGTCAGCTATGTGTGATTAACACACTGTATAGTCAATGTGTTAACAGCACAAAAAGCAATAAAACGTTTTGTTTTGTTGTTAGTGTTTTAGGTGATACAAATTCAAAGTGAAACCATGAACTCTAAATTTGTTTATTTATCGCTGTTATCTAATCGTGTAATTTCTCTATTAACAAAAGTAAAGTAAAGCCAGCCAGCAGCTTGTATTGACTACTGGTGAATGGTACTGTATAAGTTGCTTCTGTTTCATTTTGGTGTATTAGTTTAATTTATTTTTGTAGATTGATTTTCTATTTGAATAAACTAAGTAAAGTTTCTTTTATCAATGTTAACTTTTTCGTAGAAAGTTGCATCATAGACTTTTTTCTATAGGAAGTTCCTTAGTACTGGATCGTCTACCTTTAAGGTGCTGTGGAGGTATGGTAACTTATGATTATGTAATAACAATTTCGAATTCTTCTCGACCCGTTATCGTGCGTTCACGTTCCTTCTCGCGTCCCCTCGTTTTCTCTCTCTTATCATGCACGATAAGCGTCAGAGGATTATTACGCCGCTCCCGCGGACTTTGTTATACTGAAAGTAAACGGGAATACACTTTGATCATCATTATTCGTGAAACTTAACTAGCGAAGTTGATCGTTTGAAAGAATTATGGAGACTAATGGATACTAATAGATTGTATTCGGTTTTAATCGCAATTAACATTTTTAATTTTATCAGCATTAATGAATGACAAAATTGATGCACAATCTTGTTATTATTTGATTCGCATCTCCTGGCGAAGGAGAATAAGAAATTGCACCGTTGTATTTTAATCAATTTATTTATCTGAGGTACTTGAAAACTGATTTAGTTATTCTATTCACAAAGAATCTTTTTTTTAGTCAAAGAAACTGTTCTGGAACATCATAGATACTTGTTGATACCTATCACCTGACTGCATTAGAGTATTCGAGAAGAAACATTCTAGTTCAGATTTATGGTTTTAATTTTAGGTCAATAAAGCTACAAATTTAACGAAAATTAATAGCTGTAGGAATGAAGTACGAAAAACAGTTTCAAGATTTTTCGTCTGAACGTGTCAGTTTTGGAATTCGCCGGTCTCTGCAGTCCACTTGAAGAGATGAGTCAGTAGACGTAAAAAAACAATTGCGTGCAAGCTGGGATACTGGCTGGCAGATGTGGCTGTCCTTGTTTTATTTAAATAACATGATTTTGTTTACGTATGTTGACTTAATTATGTACTGATCACTTTTCACGAATCGTTTGGATAATTCGTCGATCTTTATTGATTCGAATTAGGTTTGGATTAGGTTTAAATTTGGTTTGGACTAGGTTTGCGTTATACTTATTTATTTTAACTCTAGAACTATCGAGTATTTGATATGATTGGTTGTAACTCATCTAAAAATTGTAATAGCTTTTCTAAGCTTTTACAGATATTCTTTTATAGTACGCAAGTCAAACTAATATGTAAAATAATTTCGGCTATACAACATTTCTATGATATAAATAACTTCGAGATAAGAAAATTAAAGCCAGTAATATTTACTTGTACAGTAATCCTTGCATTAAAATTTATTTTCTTGAAAAATAACCTTGATTTTCAATGTCAAAAACATAAATTATCCAAAACAACAGATTTCGATAAAATAAATTGACTTTCCGGATACTAGATTATATCTTGTTACTCGTTCGATGTCGTTTTGCGACGAAGACGTCGATGATTGCATCGTCTTTCAGTAATAATTAACTTGCTCGTTCGGTAAACATAATCGGTGACTCCCGCCGAAAATTTTCCGCGTCGAGTCTCGGGATGCTTTCTCGGGTTCGTCGCACGTATATGGATCGCTGCCAAACTCGGCACGTTCGCTCCACTCCTTCTTACCTTTATCTCGAACGGAAAGCCGGCAGCGGGAGGACGTGACCGTGAATTCTAAAGAGCACCAGGGACCAAGGACGCATCTGTGGTGTTCAAGTGATTCGCAAAGAGAGCAACGGGCACGACATCGTGTCAGGGCCATGATCAGCCGGAGGCCGACCAATTGGAAACTGGGACTCGCGGATTTCACGAGTGTTTCCCCGCTATAAGTATTAGTCCTTTATGCCAGTGCGTCGATTCGTAATCCAGTGTCTCGAGTTTATTCTGGTTCGTTTGACCATCACTTTTTTTTCCTATTACAGTAAGACCTCGTTGAGCGCGGGGGCTACGCTCCAAAGAAACCGAGCGCTAAATGAAACGACGTTAAACGAGGTCATCCTGACGCGTAAATAATGGAGATAGCTGAAACAGGATGGTGAATAAAAAATATGCTATTTTTTCCTTTGTTTTATTTTGCGAACTGCGTTATGCGGGTAGAATGGTTGTAATGAGGATACAAAATTTTCAGGTTCTATATGTCTGGATTTAATGGTGTTTATAGATTAAAGTTAGTTGATGTGTGTCCTTAAAAATGTTCAACTTGAAGTGCTTGTTTTATTGGACTTTATTTTATAGCATTTGTTAAAAATACTTAAAAATATGAAGTCTGTCTTTGAGGTTTTCATTTTTTTTCAATTTAAAACATTTGTAATCATACAGAAATATTGTATGTTGCGTGACCAGGTCGTGTGTATTGTTTCTTCAAATTGTATTTTCGTGAGATCTCGTATCACTTTATATTTGACTATGAAAACATGGTCTGACTCATTTGGTTTTCCTAATAAGATTGCGACGCTACCTGAGAATGTTATATGTATAACTGTCTCTGCAGCATATTTCTTTCAATTTTTTGCGTTACGAATGTATATGCTAATAGAATTAATTTAGAGTATTACATACTATTTCACGATAATCTCATTACCATTAGTGGTCAATTTGTTTTTTCATTAGTATTACACATACCTTTATATAAGTCACTAATTCATATCATTTTTCGTACTATGGTATTATTAATATGTTTATTTTCTTGGACTGTTTGATATTAAATAAAAATATAATTAATGTATTATGATTATGTAATAACTGAATAAATAAATATATATTATATATAATATACTTAATAACTATGTTAATAATAACAAAAATAATAATAATGATTTATAAAATCTTCATTTATTTCATTACATAATTTCAAACATTACAAGTAATATTCTTTTATCTTCTCTAATAGTTATAAGTGTTAGAAATATTTTAAAAATATTCCAATAACAGTCGAGTCAACCCGTAAACAAGCGAGAAACTGGTTAATTATACAAACTTAATCATGTAATTGGGTCAGGTTATATTACGAGTTTGCTTCAACGTAGAAGAATGTTATACAATGAAGTTGAATGGAAAAGCAGCTTTACTTTCCTTTATAGTTTTCATAAGCGCAACGAAGCATGTAAAAGATGAAAATGTACTACTACCTTTAACGTACCACTTATAATTTCGAGAATGATTGTGTAATACAATAAATTCAGATAGAATTTAATGCAATGCAAGACCGAAGAAAGTGAAAACATATAAGTGATCACTGTATCACAAATTCATTCGGAATAAAATGCTGTACGTTGCATCAGCGTGTTGTTAGAAGTCAGTGTTTCTCTTATATTCTAAAACCAGAAACAGTAATTACTTCGCAAATAATCTTAAACCTTCTACATATTTACATGCATGTTACAACATATTGCAACCATACGCATATATCTAACATATATGCTTATCGAACCTTGTCGAAATGTCTGATACCAAATAAAGAGAACGAGTCAGCGGTAGTTTACTTACGACGGCGTGAAAGAGGGAGACAGGTCGAGTTTCGATTGATGGATGGGTACCATCGGAGCAGAATCGGGGTCGCAACCCACTTTCGACGATGAAATCTCAACGGTGCACCGAGTCTCGAATCTCTTTCTTTCGATCGCAGCTTTTCCACCGAGATCCATCCAAACGAAAAATACATCCCATTTACCAGTGTGCCAACGACAGAAATTAACCCTCGAAAAGCGGACATGTTTGATGATTTCATGAACACCGATGTCTTGTAACATTTGAATAGCTATTTACCAATTTTTAAAAATATTTCTTTAACACTAAAATTACCGAGCAGTTAAATGGACTTTTTAAAATTCTTTTATAAAAACTCGAAGAGTGCATCTATTGAGACTTTAATTGATTTAAAATTCAATTTGCATATTGCCAAATCAATTTCTTTAATAATTTTTCAGAGGAACATTAATTGCCATCTGGTAATGTCAGTGTTAAACATGCTTCTAGGAGACGCAAAAAACTTGTAATTAAGTCTGATTAACCTTCGAATATGCCCATGTAATGTAAATAGAGAGAGTAGGTAACATCATTGATTGGTTCCTAACACATTCACGACTGGCAGATTTTTCGGTTTTCTATATACTCATTGCTAATTTCTGACGTTAAAATGGGGACAGAAATTAGACAATTTGTTTTGAAATATTAGTCTTGAAACGATCTGCTGTCTGAAATGAAGAACATTCCGTTAAAGAAAAGTACTTGCAAAGACAGAAATTTTTGACAGTGGCAACCAGGAATAGAATTTAAAAGACGAGATTTCACGTCAACGACCGCCAATGTGATTTATTTCTCTATTGTAGTCGATACAGCAACGTTGTCATTAATAATTTATTAAAAAAATAAAAAAATTCTATGGATATTCTGTCCACCTTTGCTCTAAAATATAATCATTGATAACGGAGAAATAATATTTCATATGAATTCACAAGAATTAAGTAATGTTTATGTTTGTTAAATTCTGTTTAAAATCTTCACCACGAGTCTCACACATTATTGTAAGGCAAGGGGTTAAATATATGAAATAGAAGAACAGTTGGCCCACCACGTCCTTGCCGAGCTTCACCAAACTAAAAGTGCACAGGAGCAAGGGGACCTCTTCCGCTCAGAATGCTCGCGTCAATAGCCATAGAACAGTTGAAGTTATTGGCCGAGCCGCCCGGCGAAGAAAGCAGACGGAACAGAATGTAACGGAGTGAGATGTAGCGAACATTGTTGTCGGGTTTCGTTTCGCTAGTTTCTTATGTTTACGAAATCCCAGTAACACAGGCCCGAGTACAGTCTGCGAAATTTCCATAGTTCCATACTTACTTCTTGGCAATTTTGGTTCATTTATAAAGAAGTGAATAGGACAGGTTTTAGTGGAACTATGGAAATTTCGTTTAGTGTATACAACTTTTCCCAGAAGGACCGAGCGAGTGAAGTGTGTTCTTTGCGTCCCCTTGCCCTTGTATATTTATAATTTGCTGGAGCTCGATATGAACATGATCACCAATTGTATTTACATTCCTGTAATATATAATAAGGCTCGCATTCACGTTGAGAATTACGGCGATACAGGCATTTTTTCATTTTTATGGGCAAAAATACATATATAGTTTTGTATGTCCAACAATAGAATCATGATATCAAGTGTTAAAACTCTGGTTCGAAATGAAGCCAACCAACCGAATGGAGAGATTCTCGCTTTTCCCTTAGCGAAGCATTGCTTCTTATTTCTTGTTGTTTCTTTTGTTATTTAGTAAGTCTCGAATTGGGATTATTGACAATTCGTTACATACTTTTCTTGCTTTTATAAAGCAAATTTTTTAATAAAATTAGTTACGTGACTTTAAGTTAATGAGGAAGATTATAGGCATAGTCTTTTTTAGGGAGTTACCTAAGTGTTAAGTACAACGGATTTTCGCGGGGAATATCGTGTAGTTATGTCTAATGTTACGCAATTTTTTACGTGTCGATAGCTTACTGGTAATCGGACACATGTGATCGACAAAATTGAGCAGGAGACGACCAACGCTTGACGAGTCGAGCCAGAATAATCTATAACGATACGACAAGACGTGATCCACGCGCTGAAATGTCGTATGCGACGCGTTACAGGTTTATATAACGTTATTTCCAGCGACGTGACTTTATTGAGAAAACAAAATGAGTCAGTGGAACACGGCTGTCGGTGCAATGACGAGGGAAATAACGGTGGCATCGATCAACATTGGGGGGTTATTTTGTTGCCCCGCGATTTTTATCAGCGAATTATCGCCAGGGATTGAAAGGGTTCCGAAAATAACTGTTCGAAACTGTTATATGAGACGCTCATTGACCAAATTGATTAATTTAACTTTTCGAATTTTTTAAGATTTTATCATTAAAGCATTTCATTGGTTCTTAAATTTTGATATTTAGAATACATTTCACTAAAACTGGATTTGGTACCACAAAATAATAAAGGTCTTTTGGCCATGTAAAAATTGCAATAATAATCAAAATGTCTTCGAGGATATACTATTTCATGCATTTTACTACACCTGTAATAATAAAGTAAAATACACTCTACAATGATTATTTAATTTTGCATTTAAAGGAAAATTTTCAAAACCAATATATAACTATAGCATCATTTTTCTCTACTTTTTGTTTTGTGGAGTTAATCGATTACATATGTCTTTCGATTCCGATTTTCCAGAACCGATATTATATCGGTTCTACATCAATTCTACAAACGTTATTTTTCGATTCTGTATTTCTACATTTCCTTCAAAACTGAAAAGTAATAATTTCACTTTACTCATTCAGTATATTTTGTATCTTACATTTTTCGAATAAAGTACAAGAATTTGCGTACTTCTTGCTTTACATAGGAACAAAGAAATTAGCATGCAGTAATCAGATATATACCTATATATAATATGTACACATACATACATATACCTATAAACGTTTATACGCAATGGAAGTACAGCCTTTCAGAATTTTCTTTTTGCAATGCAACTTCAAAACAGATCAACAAGTTTCTAGGAGAAAGTCATAAGAGCGTGCTTAATTAACACATACGATTCACAATTATTGAGAGTTTCGAGTTTATCAATGCGCCTGAAATAGTTAGATTCCTTAAGATCGGTGCTTTTGTGGTTAATTACCGGAACAGAGCATGTTGCGGCCGCGTGGCGTCGATTTTCTTGACGCTTTCGCGAACGCGGCACTTGGAGAGCAGCGCGGGAAAGCATCGCGACAGTTACTCTCGCCTTGACACGAATCGTGTGTGCCACGACGGATTAATTTCGTTCAGTGTAATTATATAATCGAAACGCGCTCGCGGATTCATGATACCGCGGTTCAAACCGACCGAGGCGCGCTTATTGTAGCCACGGAGACTGTCACTCCTCACGTCCACGTGGATGTGCGAAAAAATAGTTCCCTGGATACCGGTTTCTTACATACAATTTAATACTAAAACTATCGAGCAGTTAAATCGACTTTTTGAAATTTCTCTATAGAAACTCCAAGAATGCGTCTGTTGAAACTTCAATTGATTTACAATTCAGTTTGGGTATTGCTAAATTAATTTTTTTAATAATTTTTCAGAGGAGCATTTATCTTTTCAATAATTGCAAGAAGAAGGAATTGGGAATGAATCATTTTGACCCGTCTAGTAGTATTAGTGTTAAAACTAAACGTACCGCGACCGGTCGAATGTCCGATTTAAAATTTGATTAAAAGTTTTGTATTTTCTTGCGTCGAAGTTAAAAATGAAGGGCAAGTCATGTACAAAGTAATAATGGTATCAATTGTAGCACTTGCTATATTAGAATTTCGCACTTGAGGGTCTCGGTTGATCGAGACATTCATTGCCATCTACGTATTGTATAGGTTACATGCAGACTGTACACGGAAGTCCGAGGGTGGATCATTTGTTAGCCATTTGTGATCAATGTCTGCACGCATTCGTTTTGTTTGTAACGTACAGTACGGAATGTGTATACATGTTAATCAATTCAGGTTACCATTTGCTGTAAATAGGATAGGCATGCAAATCTATTAGTTTGATTTCGTAGCAATAATAATAATAGCAATGATAATAGTTATAATAATAGTATTTATTACC